CAGAGAAATGCCTTGAGTGCAAAGCCAGCACGCTCCGGGAGCAGAGCACAAGATCCAGCATCTGCTGGGAGGTGCGGGGGATTTGGAGAGCCTGAGAGCTCTGTCTGTGTGCTTTGAAGCAGGTCAGCCTCCCGCGGGGAGCAAGGAAGTGCCAGCAGCCCGGCCGGGAGCGGCTCGCAGCCCGCCGGCAGCCAGGGATGCTCAGCCAGCAGCCTCGTGGTTTGTTCGACCCTTTGCCCACCGAACCGAAGCTGCTAATTAGCTCTAACAACAGGGACGTCTGTTCCTCTGAAGTCTCCGGCCTGAAAACGCCCCAGACCAATTTCTCCTAAATCCTCCTCCCCTCGCACATCCATCAGGAATAACATCCACTTACCGTGCTCCCTGCCCCCAGGCTGAGTCTGAACCACTGACCTCGAGGTGAAAGCGCTTGAAAAGCTTCGGCCCTCCCCGCAGCCAGCAGCGCTCCCAGCGGGATTTTCAGCAGCGCTTACGGAGCACAGGGACTTTTAGGGACTTTTAGGGACTTTTAGCAACCACCGTTCGGCGGCAGCCCCCCGGCCCGGAGCCACGCCGCCCTTTCACACGGGAAACCCCCTGCCCAGCTCTGGCCGTGCCCTGGGAGCGGCTGTAGGACCTGGGGTCAGGCTGCAGCTACCCGTGCTGCTCTGTCCGGAGCTGCTGCTGAGCTCAGCCCAGCCTGTGCTGCGCTGGGGGAACGCCGGGCTTCAGCCCCGTCCTTGGGCTCGGGTAGAGAGAGCGCTGCCTTGTTATCTGTGGGCTCACGGCGCTCTGGGCTCTGTGACCCCTAAAGGCCCACGGCCCCATAACCCACCTGATGCTGCCTGCAGCCCCATCACCCACCAAAGGCTGCAGGACCTGTCGTTCACCAGGGCCCCATAACCCAACCAAGGCCCCATAACCCAACCAAGGCTCCATAACCTGCCTAAGGCTCTGTGACCCCACCTGCTGCCCAGGAGCTGTGGGGCCCCCCCCCCCCCCCCCCGAGCCCCATAACCCACCTGATGCCCTGTAACCCACCCCAGGCCCACAGCCCCATAGCCCACCAAGGGCTGATGGCCCCATAATCTACCAGGACCTGCAATCCAGCTGAGGCCCTGGGTCCCATAACCCACCCAAGGCTCTGTAACCCCACCAAGCCCCACAACCCACCTGATGCCCTGTAACCTGCCCACAGCCCCATAATCCATCAAAGACAGCAGACCTTGTAATCTACCCAAGGCCCAGGACCCCATAACTCACCCAGGGCCCTGTAACCCCACTGAGGTCCGTGGCCCCATAACCCATCGACTGCAGGCCCTGTAACCCACCCAAGGCCCCATAACCCAGCCAAGGCCCAGGGCCTCACAGCCCATCACAGACAGCAGGCCCTACAACCCACCCCAAGGTCCCATAACCCACTCAAGGCCCAAGGCACTGTAAACCCCAAGCCCCTCCAACCCCCCAGCACCCCACAGCCCCCATAGGCTGCGGACCCTGTAACCCCATCAAAGCCCACAGCTCCATGCCCCATATGGGACTGCAGGCCCTGTAACCCAGCAGAGCCTTCTAACCCACCCCAAGACCACATAACCACCCCATGGCCCTGCAGCCCCCCAGCACCCCATAACCCACAGGCCCATAACCCCACTGAGCCTCAGGCTCCCATCCAGATCCCATACACCAGCCCCCCCTCCTCCCCCCCCAAATTTTGGCTGCTCAGCCCAATCTCTGCTGCACGCCTCACAGCCCCCTTCCCCAGGGGAAGGAAATTCTCCCACTCCAGCTGGCCTGGGAGATACCAGAGGAAGATGTTATCAGGACAGGCTCGCTAACCAGAGGACGGCTCTAATTATTAAGAGCCAATTCTATTACAGCCATCACAGCCCCGAGGCAATGGGGGGCCATGCCCTCCTGAGGCCCCCCCCCCCCCCGACAGCATTTCTAAGCAAGAAAACAGGCAGCACGTCACCATCTTAACCAACCTTCTTATTTCTTTATTTGAAAGGCACAGCTTGTACGTCCTTGATACAGCATTTTCAGTTCCTCTTATTATAGGTCAAGTGATTAAACACAAAAAGCAAAACGAGATCTGTCTAAAGGACTATATACAAACACCAGATTATTATTTAGTTTTATTCTTCTTTCGTCGTCGTCGTCGTTCCATTTTTTGTATTATTATTTTTTTTTGAAGACACGCTAGCGCACGGAGATAAGAACAGAGAAAGCTGCTGTATCCTCTACAGGGGGGCGTGGGGAGGGGACCGGGGGGCTCCCAGGCACCCGAATGCCCCCCAGCCACCCCCAAGCTCCCAGCCCCCCCAGCAGTGTTCTGCCAAGGGGGGCGGGCAGCAGGACCCCCCCCCAGCCCGAGAAAACCCGGCTGGACACGTGGAACTGCGGCGGTTGCTGCGGGACTGGTTAAAAACAGAGACATGCAGAACAGCGAGGAGCCGGAGAGGCGAGAGGGGGTGGGGGGTGGGGGGGGAGATTTGGGAGATGGGGGGGGGGTCGTCGGGGCAGGGAGTTGTGCAGAAACCTGTAGGACCGAGGGTCGTCGTTAAATACCGAGGGGAGCAGCGCCCCCAGAACGGAGCGGGACGAAGCCGGGGGCACAGAGCGGCTGCCACGGCGCTGCCCTGGGGCGCTGCTGCCCTGCGGCTGCTGCGTCTGGCACGGACGTCCCCCCACACCCAGCAACCCCGACCCCTTCACTCTAATCTGATTTCTCCCCATCGTCGTCTTGGTGGGCGTCCCCGTCGTGGCCGTTCTTGTCCTCCTTGGCCAGGTGAGCCTGGGAGCCCAAGGCCGAGAGCGAAAGGAGGCCGGAGCCGGCGCTGACGGCGGGGAGGGATGGGGGCTGCAGCCCCACGGGCAGCGGAGTCAGAGGCAGCGCCAGGGCTTGGAGCTGCGAGAGCTGGTGGGCTTGGAGCTGCTGCTGTAGGGAACGAGGGGCGGGTGGGAGTGGGAGGGGGCAGCTGTCATTGCAAGGGCACCTGAGCCCCCTCCCCCAGCCCCAAAGCCCGGCTGCCCCCTCGGGAGCATCCACAGAGCACCCAGCCCCGGCGGCCCCCCAGCGCGTCCCCTGTGGAACGCAGCCCCCCAGCCCACAGGATGCCTGGCCTCGGCTGCTGGCACGCTCCGAGGATGCGGTTAAACCCCTCTCAGCCTTGACTAGGAACAGATGGTGTTTTCACAGCAAAGAGCTGCTGCAGCTCCTGCCCCAAACCAAAGCCTCTCTCCTTTTACGCTCTGCGGGGCAGAGCAGAGCCTGCGCTCCCTTGCACAGCCAAGCAATGCTCCAGCGAGCCTGGACAGAACCAGCAGGGCCATCCCAGCACCCACAGCCCATCCCAGCCCCCTGGGCGCACCTTCAGCTCTGCCAACACAGGCACTGACCCCATCCTCCCACACCCAAACTTAAACATGCACCACGTACACGGATGATGGAGTTCAGCTCCGGTGCCGTCACCTGCTTGGCTCGTTCAATGGCTCCCAGGACTTGCTGCTGGTGCTGGGATGGGGAAAAAGAGGAATTTGGCGTCATTAAAGGCTTAAGGAAGGAAGGAAGGAGGACAGGGACGCAGCGCACACATCCACCCTCCTGCTCCATCCTTGTGGCCACACAGTCCCAGTCACTCTGCTCACCCCAAGGTGGGCTGCACCCTCTACCCTGCCCAGCCCTGACACGGCACCAGACCCCCCAAAAAGCAAAAACAAATCAAGCCTCAGAAATCAGAAGCTCCTGGGCAGCTCCCCAGCCCCTGGGATGTGCCCCAGGCTCCAACCTGGAAGGTGCTGCTGTAGATGAGCCTTGCACGCCTCCAGACAGAGGCAGGAAAACGAGCTGTGCTGAGTGCTTAAAACAAATAAAGGATGGCTGCGTTTGCTCCCGTGAGAGCACGAGGTCTCCCAGCACCAGGCCTGAGCACCTCATTGCTGCCAGCAGTGTATTCTTTGTGTCTTGGCAGAAGGACAGGGCTGGGGAGGGGGAACGTGTCGCATTAAGAAGCAAAGGGTTTAGCTGGGGCTTAGTTATCAGCCACCGCTGATCTGCTCAGCAAGCCACTTTGCCTTCCCCCAGAGCAGGTGCGCAGCAGCAGCACGGCCTGCCCCCCCCCCCCCAAAGCTTATCCAGGCCCCAAAATGCAGCCCCCCACCCCACAGCCCCTGAACAGCCACCCCAGGGCTCAGCCTGAGGGGCAGCACAAGGACAGACATCACGCTGAGGGTGCTTCAGCAGCTCCCCCCTTCCTCTGAGCCCTCCCAATTAATTTCTCAGGGGAGTGGGAGGAGCCCATCAGCCACATTAATTAATGAGGCAGAGGAACCTGGTCTCCAGGAGCCATATGGAGGTATTTTTTAATGTTCAGCCATCCACCACTGCCTGCACTCGGTCAGAAGCAGCTGGGAGTCACGGGAGCGGGGTGAGAACAGAGCCCAGTTTGTCTGCAGCTGCCCCACAGAGGGGACAGACAAACAGACAGACCCATCAGTCCCAGCAAGGCCTGGGGGCTGGGATGTGGGCTTCAACCTATCCTGAAGGGCTCGTCCCGCATGGAGCAGGCATGGGTGGAGAGGAAGCAGGGCACCAGCACCCCAGGGCTCCTTCGTGCCAGAGCCTCCAAGCCGGGTGCTGAGGCAGTTACCTCCTGTGAAAGGTAGGGCAGAACCTGTGCACAGATCCCATTGAGCCTCTTGACGATTTCAGCCTGGAGAGGGGAAGGAAAAAAACAAACAACAGAGAGGAATGGCGTGAGGGGATCCCAAGGCACCCATCCTGAGCATGGCCTGCAGCAAGAACACATGAGCTGGAGGGAGCCCAGTGTGAGTGGGGGGACACCTCAGCCCCCAGATGCTGAAATAAATCAGAGCTGCTGACAGCAAGGAGCGAGTTCTCAATATTCTCTTCCCTCTCAGGGTCTCCAGTGTTCATTTAATGAAGTCAGGAGCAACCAGAGAGAAAATTTATTACAGACCTGGGTGGGGATGTACAGAATTACATCCCCCGTGCAGGTACAGGTGGGCTGTGGCTGTGACCTTCGCTTTGCTGGGCATCCTCAGCCCCCCCCCCCCCC